ATATACCTTTCAAACGTGCCAATACATGCATAAAGATACACCGGTATTTTAAGCTGTGTCCAGTGGGTATGATTGAAGAAGACCTCTATAGAAAGTTGAGTGAGTGTTTTGAGAAAGCGGAGCCAAATTTCAAACAACCGAATGCGTGATCACTGAGGATCGATTTAACTTTATCACCTCATCAGCGGCAATATATCGGTAATAACTGCGCGTGCCTAACAGCCATACAACCACGAAAGAATGACCTGCTAAAGAGTAGAATGAAAAGATAAGGACAGGGGCTCATAACAAACAGCCTTAGATCCCTGGGAAAAACGATGAAGAACAAGGTATCCATACCCCGGAACAGCAACGAGATAAAAAGCAGCTGAGCATCATATCATTTGGAAAACGGAGTCTTCTCGAGCCTTCCACGAGTTGCTTTACAGCGCTAGCTGGAATTTCCCAGGATTCCATTTGTATGAGTACGGCGAGTCGAGCGGCCAGACTCATCCGCTACAATTTGATAGGCTGCAGCGAAACCTGAAGCCACCTGAGTTTTCCAACCCAGAAATCGAAATGCGAAATATGAGAATCGGAACCCAGTACTCCTATACCGTATTTGCAATGCAGATTTGAACACTATCCTAGCATGCAGAAATTGAAGCAAAACGAGGGTGAATTATACTGGCTATTATGTTTCTGCAGATGAGCAGCCGTATCACGGTAATCTCAATCTACAAGCGTTGGTACATCGGAGTTACGTGACGACACAGAACTCGCAATATAAAACCGGATGTTCATTCAAACGATTCCAGAACATACCTGCGGACAAGGACGTCCAGTTTCCCAAACTCCTCAGAAGTCCCTGAAAACAATCCAAAAAAGGAAACTTGTGCTAGACTGTGATTCAGAAATGAACCTATATTCACTCCGGATTATCACAGAGTTCGAGTTTAGCAAGCATGATTTCGAATGTGTCGATCCTGTTAAATTGGATACCGCAAAATGATAATTTGTTCATCAGACAACGATTCGTTTAGGTCCTCGGAAGAAACCTAACTACCTAGTCAGTTGGTCTTGACATCGAAACTTATGGGGAGCTAAAACATGTGGTATGACCACTGTGGAACTGAAACAACTGACGTTGGTGGCAGTTCTCAAAAAACTAGATGTGTCCTTGTGTGCAGGTCATTACCACCTACCAGTAAGCCGCATTAAGCCTCTGCTTTCAGCTGCTTGGGTTATCCCTTCGTTCTTAGTTAAAACACTACATTGTTCATGTCAGTTGGACTACATTGTTTTCTCTATGTAATAATAACAATCGTTCAGCTGTCACACCCCAGCCATTCCACCCAAGTATATGTCCGTAAATGAGCCGTCTCGCCACTCTGACAATACCGGGTGCTAGAAGCGACTTCCTGCAAACACCGTTGTATAAATCGTAGCGATAATTGGATTGGACTAGCGATAGGTATGTGTCTTGAGGGAGTCTTATTAGCTGCGCGGGTGAAGGGGACAGACGAGACAAGCGCGTGTGGGTGGGGAAAAACGTGTTCAAACTCCAGCCTGCCCAACTGGAGTGGTCGCTCTGAAACCCCAGTACTAGCGCGTCTATTAGTTGACATTCTTGTTCAGCTAAAGAAACTGAACGGTCTGGAGAGAACCCACACCGAAATATTCACGTATTGTCTGTAGTCATACTGAGCGATAAAACTAAGTCTATACGTTGACCACACGTTCAGAAAAAAAGACAGGAAAAAACATGTAGATTTCATAAGTGTAACAGACAACTTATACTGACTCAAGCCGGTTAATGAAGAGTACGATACAGTCGGTCAACAGAGGTCGACAAGCATTCCGGTCAGGCTTAATGTAGGATAACAGAAGGCCACACAAATACAAAAGCAGCTTCGTGCGCAGTAGAAGGACCTCAACAAAACTGAAATGAAGTGCAAACCACTTACCCACTGACGGTTCAGTTCCATCCGTCTGCGCAGCAAAATCCGAGAACTGTTTCTGAAAAGAAATGGATGTTTCAGTGAGCCTTGAATAAAAGGCACGTTCGCAGTTTTCAAGGTTGTATGGCACAAGAAAACCCACCGATGGAACTTGCAAAATACTAGTTGAGCTGACGGTCGTTGGAGCAGTTAACCTGAGTTCCGGCTCAACTAAAAGGAAGAACAAGGAACTTGAAGGCGGGATCACATCATTCGAAACCGAAGTAGAGGTAGTTGAAAGAGTAGCCTACTTATGAAAAAATAGTGTTCGTCCCCAAAAACACAGGGCCAAGGTGTCCTAAAACTGCGTATAAATTTTGTCAGTAAATCCATCGATAGCTGTCCTGCGTATGTGAGAAAGAGCAACACAATTTTCAGGAAACTCGGAGATGTTTCAGTATCCGAGGATGGGTCCCTGGATTAACCAAAAATCACGTCGACTAGAAGGATGCATGGTGAATCGGCTACGGACCAGAAGGTACGTCCTGACTGACTAGAACTCTGGTCAATCAGAATCGAGTCTTTTTGGCCTGTCGTCTCTCGCACCGTCACGAAGATTGTGGTGTGAACTTGTGTATGACTGTGACTGCTCTATGAATACAGTTGTCCTGTAAAGAGTCTGCCTCAAGCTACCGTGCCTTTTCACACACTATAGTGGGCTGAACAGCAAGTATAGGACTTGCGAAACCACAAGAGTTTATTATTTTCCGGTTGCTCCGAGAAGTGAAGCTGGGTGGGTACACGCCGTCCGTTTCCGCACCCCGAAATCGGGAGTTCACCGGACTGGAAAGACTCATTCCAACTAAATATTCCATCCAAAACGCTGAGTGCAACATATGTGTTAATGCATCATAGTCAAGTTCGACAATCAAAATCGTTGAGCGGTAGCACCCTTTCGGTGCCTAACTGCCATGCCATCAGAAGAAAGCAAGAGGGCTGCGATAGTGCCAGGTTGCCCATCCTAGACAGGGCATTATCACGTTAAAGGTGAGCCAATGGGCGTCTTCCAGGAGCACTTAAGATCTGTGTATTGGGAGAGGTCTCGTGATGCACCGAAACGGAGGAATAGAAGAATGACACCGGCACCATGATTATAAACAAGTAATTGGTGCAGGTGCGCATTAGTATGCCACCACGCTTAGGCAAATTGATGGCTTGTAACAGGTTCGCCCGCTGAGCTTTCCCGCTCGGTGCTAAGAAATTCCATGCAGTACCGCATTCAGCCCCAAGCAAACGGCTCATGGCTTTCCAACTATGTGCAGGTATCTAGCAGTTTGACGAACTTTGACCGAAACGAAGAAAGACAACGACCATGTATGTTAACACGGTTGAGACTGTTGTGAAAAGGAGGAAACCATCAACAACCCCTAACTCTATTTTTGAACAGCCCTTACTAGATCCTTTCGCCTTTTTCTTCCTTCCGGGTCGAACCTTCCTTTTGCTCATACACAAATCTTCCGTGGAAGGTGTCATCGCCTCACGTTCAGATGGCAGTGCTGGAGGAACAACGGAATCTGGTTGGAGGGTTACACGCTCTAACTGAGCACGCAGAGACAAAACCTCGGACTCCGCATCATGAAGTTGTTCCATTATGTTGCTCATGTGAACCGAATGACTATCCCTCAACGCTGACAGTTCAGTCTGGCGGGTTTCGTCCAGTTCCAATAAACGGTGTTTCAGCTCCTTCAAAATAAACAGAAGTGAGAAAAGTGACTTTATTGATGATAAAAACATATATGTAAAGCATACTGGGTGCGAAGTCGAACAGTAGTTAACGTGTTGTCTTCCAGACTGCCTTCGTTCGCAGTCCGTCTTGAAATTTGAACCTAACTAGGAAATACAACAGTATCAGGGTGGCCTGTAATAAAACATACTAAGATGGAACCTCTTGATAGCTATTTTCATGTCTACATCTATCAAGGAAACTTCGTATACGCTGCAATCCACCCTAAGATACTTCTCCCACGGAGGCCAAAATGCTCATTCCTTCGTGGAATCATTTCTTCGGGAACAGCCGTATCGTGGACGATATGGAAAACAAGATATTTCAAATCAGTCCAACTTGAGTTCAATTATAAATTAAGGCTCAAGGAAACTCGGGGAACGCACCTACCCGATGAGCTCCAAGAAGGGCGAAACCAGCCGTGGGTAACACCAAGGGCTGCGATGGGTCTTGCTTTACAATAAACGCTGATTGAAGAGGGCTACCGTATAAACTCAGCTTTACTAGATCGAGTTAACTTAGCAGCCATCGACGATGAATTCCACAGAAATATGAGATGCATTATTAGCAATACCCCTGTTTTCCAGTTATAAAAATTCAAATGTCAGTGCCGAGTGGATCCGTTTTGACGAATTCAGTCTACCCACACGAGCCTCCTTAGCCGGGTGACTGCTGCCGATTATCAGACAGCAGACAAAAAGCGGATTACCAAAGCAGACTTAATTCTAGTGAGGTGTGTACATTGTGACGTCAAAAACAGCGACGAAATGTCTGTGGTGTGTATTATTCCCGGGAAACCATTCGTTTAGTTTGAGAATGTTTATGAGTCCAAACAAAGCACAAGTGAAAAAGCACACCGACTCGAGAGGACAGTGACAGCAATCGATAACTTTCAGCATCTAAAAATGTTCATATTTAGTTCCTTCGAGCGCAATAGTTTATGTAAAACTACTAAACAAGGTTGACAAGGTGCAGAAATGGCTACTCTGGATATAAGTTCCAGGTAACTTGTATTTTACAATCACCATATTAAAAGTCATCGAGTCTGTGAACTGACTTTTCCATTGGTTATACAGCTTAAGCACGAGAAAAGAGGTTATTTCATTCCGAAATAATAATAATAATAATCGTTCAGCTGTAGCAGCACCTTTTGGTTCGCACGCCCTGCTGTATGCAGCAAGTGAGGCTGCCCTGATGACAACACGTGACGACGGATGAGACGACCGTAAGTTTAGTTGTGGATATCATAGTTGTACGTGGGCTGCGATTCTGCTAGGGCGCACAGACCTAGAGGATGATAAGGGTCCCTGACCAAAGCGTTTGGCTCAAGAGTGATCGCAAGACACTGGTGTATAAAGAACAAGCCGCCACACATGTTCCAGCCCCCAACCTGGAGGGCCAGGAGACTGTGTTGGTCAGAGCTTTAATCACCGATCAACCTGGTATGAGACTCTGTGAGTGTCACACGGACGCAATTCAGTATAGTTCAACAGGTCATGGGGGCACACAGATCGTCACACCACGGCAAGGCCCAGTCTCTTCGTAACGGAACACCGGGGTTTTGTATTCTCCAGGGTTCTCATTTCGTCAATAGGCGAACATTGACATCCTTACCGGACATCACTTCTTGGAGAGAAGCTTTCATGAAGCTAAACCGTGCACTCTCCCATCCGGAATTATGTATACATAAAGACCGAATTTTGTTGGCAAACCTCTCTGTTCAGTCCAAGGACACTTTTCAAAGGTAAGCGGTATTATCCCTAACCCCAGTTGTCTGAGACGGTCTATTCCATCCAGACTGATTCACTGGCTGAGGGATTCACTCCTGTCAGTGAAAAGAGCGGGTAGATTGCTGTCAGGAAGAGAAGCACGATGACATTTGAGTAGAGATACATACTCGAACACTTCCGAGGCTGAAGGGAGCTCTGTTGAAGGTCAGGATTCCTGATTGGAAGTAGCAGATAGCCAACCGAATTGTTGTCCAAAGTACTGTGCCGCTGGATACCAGAGAACCATTCTGGTCCCTGATAGTTTCGCTGACAAGAGGCTCTCGAAGACCCGTGGAATGAATCGGAGGGAACAGCTTGCGGTCGTTTTCGAAATCTTTCGCCTCTTCCATTTTTTCGGAACTTCGGATCCGTCAAGCGCCCCCGGCTGCGTGAACAATCGGTTTCACCTGGCGTCGAGCTTCATTGTAGTTTTGACGAGAAAAAGAACGTCTCTGGGCCTTCAGCAAACCACAGTTCTACCTGAGATCAAATGCCTGGAAGAGGTCGGTTACGCTATGATACGGTAGGAGTCCCGGTATAATGTACAGATTTGGATATCTCGCTCCAGTGATGGCCGGGGTCCGATTAATGATCAGCAGATAAAAAAAGATAATCGTTCAGCTGTAACACCCTTTCGGTGCTTAGCAGCCATGCCACCCAAAGAGAACACAAGGGCTGGGATACTGCAAGTCTAAACAGGGGAAGCCGACAGACAGAGGTCCGCTTCGAACCACGGACCTTCCGGTCAGTAAATTAGCGCTCTAGCCACTGAGTCATCTCTCCCCCAAAAGGCAGGCGTTGGAGTAGGTCCCGATTTACTTGTTTGATTTCGGAATCCATGAGCTTTTGAATAGACAGGCGATGTGTGCGTGCTTTGCGTAGACCTGAAAAGCGCACAACAAAAATAAACGGAATCCACACAAGTATTCCATAAGGGACTAAGACAGTGGTCGACACTCGACGCTGGTGACCGACGGCAATGTGGTTTATTTGAGTTTGGAGCTGGTTCAATGCTGGGCACATTTTCAAACGATTCCCGCTGCTCCGGAAATTGATACTGCAAAGGAACATCCCCGTGGAAAGCACACATCTGCAGCAGGTATTCTACATTGTCCTTGCGTCCTGTCTCCAAATTAAGACGGCCATCAAACTGAGCCACAGCAGCGCTAAGCCTACTTACTCCGGCGTTCACATCGCCGTCGGCCGCAACATTGTCTGAGCTTTTAACCCATTGCAAACGAGTACATAGAGCGCCATAGGAACTGTCTTTGGCCACAGTCCGCAAGGACGTAGCCGATACAATAAACAAAGAGCGATGGACTATCTTCCTCGGGATACTTCCACTGAAGTTGCCTAACGAACGGAACTGTGTTCGTTATGTCTATCCAGTGTCCAGCCTGGTATGAGAAACTGCGAAAGTCGACTCAAAACCACCCAGTATAGATCAGTAGATCGTTGAGGTACACAAAGCGCTATACCAGGATATGGTTGTCTCCTTACAGCAGAAAGAGGCTAACAGAGGAAAAGAAGTAGTTGGCCTCTCTCGGGATTGACCTGGCTTCTGAAGAAAGCATACTAAACCACGACTGCCAGTAAACGCTGTTGGGGCGGCCCTAAGGATCGTTCTTTTCGAAATGGTCTCCCTTGGGGGAACTAGTATCATTCTACGACTTGGTACCCTGAGCATAAAGAGCAACGTCAAATACGGCAAGCAATGACGTAATTTACCTGTCAGCCTTATCTTGAAATAGTCTATCAAAGCAAACCGTAAGTTCAAGTCCGACGCAAGTTAACCACCTCAGGGTGACAGCACCTGAGCTAGGTTGCAAAGCCAATAACCATCTAAATGTTAATATCTCCTGAGAAGTGAGCAAACAGTAGCGGATGGGAAAAGTTTGCGGTTCACTGCACATTCCATGAATTCGGTGTTCTAGTTCTATCACGTAATCTGCTAAGAAAGTTTCATCATTTCAATCACTACTAACCTCGATTTCGTGCTCCAACTCCACGGCATGCGAAGTCTCCGGCGTAGAAGTTTTCGCCTTGCCTTGTTTCTAGTGATGTTCAGCAGTAGATAAAGAACAGAAAATAGGAACATTGTTGAAATGAAACAAGTACATAAAAGCTGTTTCAGGGTGAAATAGTATCAGTTTGTAATATTTCTGTCAAGTCTAAGCTAATAACACAGGCGAAATGTCGTCAATAACGAACGCTTTCTAGAACCTGCAAAAAATCGTTCAGCTGCAACATTTTCGGTGCCTAGCTGCCAAGGCACCCGAAGAAAGCATAAGGGCTGGGATACTACCAGGTTACCCAAGCCTAGACAGAAGTCGAGATGCAGAGGTCGTGTTCTAACCACGGACCTACCGGTTGGTAAATCCTCACTTTAACCACTGAGCCATCTTTCCCATCTGAAACCCATAACAGGAACATAACCAGAAACTCCTAAGAGCAAAGGATTTTCTAAACCAAAGATCTGGTTTCGGGTGACTAAGGCACAAACCAAGCCCTCAAAACAGGTACGTACTTAAATAAAGATACAGAGTTGTTAAACTAAAGTCACTTAAACTACCGAACGCTCAGCACTCATTGCGATGTGGAAGTGAGCATCACAAATCTATCGTCCACACTGGAGTGAAGCTTTTCCCGCAAGACCTGTAAGACTATAGAAGCGCGAGATCAAGTGTATATGGGTGAGCAAGTCGGTGGGCTCGCGTGACCAGATAAAAAAACTGCCACTGTCTCCTGGGACCATTCACTTTAGTTGACTACAACAGTAATTGGCTGCCACATTCTAATAACTCAAAATTCGAGTTTCCGTCAATCTACGAGGGTGTAAAGGGCATCACTTCCGTCTAGCAGTTTTATCCAAGCAACCCACCGGGCGATGATGCCCACCAGTGCCTTCGTGTTACTTGTGGGTTAAAGTAAGCTTTCATATACACCAACTGCAACCATCTTCTATCCGTCGCCTCTAAAGGTGGACCGAATTAGATCACGGGGTTTAAATCTCAGCGTTTCCGTTGACGAAGATGTCTCATATGCAAAAGTCATCCTAGAAGACTGAGCGGAAGACCCCAGTTTGGAGCATACAACGTCAGGAAGCAATAACAACAACAATCGTTTAGCTGTAACACCTGGTTGCTATGCCACCTGAAGGAGACTTGAAGGCCGAGATACTCTCAGGTTACCCAAGCCTAGACAGGAACAGTCGAGATGTTCAAACCACGGACCTTCTGGTCAGTAGGCTGGTGCCTTAATCACTGAACTATTTACAGAGCTGATGAACGGAAACATATCATACTGTCGAGTGACCTACAAACATTAAAAAGTTGACTAGTAAATTTCCGGCTACAAGAATGTCCTCGTATCCTCAGAGGCTGGCTCGAACACAGGCAGTGGCGCTGAGGACAGCTGGTATCCGATAAGGAATAGTCTTTCGGCGGTGACTAGGCCACTGGACACCAACGCATAGTTTTGATAAAAACAATGATTCGGTGGAGCCGAATATGTTACCGCATGTCAGTACCTGATATACAGTCGCTCGCCAGTGGTCGCTACTGGATGGGTGAACAAATAGGAATATTCTTGAATCAAGGTGCATTCGTGAAGTAAACAACAAAGCCTAGCCATCTCACGGCTGATTCTTGGCCAGGAGACGAGTGAGTCAAAAGAAGGCTTAATGAAACACCCGGGTGACACCATAGAGGGACAAAACTGATCACCTCACCTGCTTAGCTATACGGCGCCATTTTGTTGCCTCAGCGCGCAATTGAGCAACTTCGTCTCGAAGCTCTTGCCAGGTGGCGGTACCAACACGGTTACCACCTTCCGAGATGTGATCTTCGCTCGCAAGTTCAGGTGCACGTGCTGGAAAATACATATTGAGACCAAGATCACAAAGCTGAAGCGAACAGCTTCTTAGGTTTTGATAGCTTCGAAAGTAGAATCTGTACCTCGGTAACAGGTGCAAATCTGAAAAACTGCTGAAAGTGGGTGCAAACGTATACCAAAGTACGCTAACCATAAACCATAACTAACCCAACACCGACAGAAAGAAATGCGCATCGCTACAAAACGTGCCTACGGTATGGCATTAAAACTGAAAACAGTGTATGATCATAAACGACTGCGTGCCACTTGAAAGCAAGGCAACGTCAACAGGGTACAATGGTTGTGGCCTACACAATTCGCCAAAAATGCACAAGGGTGCCAACCGCCTGCATGCACATACAGATGAGTTGGACGCTATTCACCTGTGTGTCTTACGTGGCTAGTTCACTGAAGGCTTGCACTTTTCCTATCATCTCAAGTGAAAATTGACTATCGGCCTTGTCCAGAGTCAGTCACACTCTCCAACCCAAAATACAGAAACAAGCTTAGATGTGCGGAAAATCCGATTAGTCCCGCTGCTGAACTGAGCCAATTGGCCCCACCTGACTACCTGACTACAGCCACCTGTGCCAACTCATTGAACGAACGGTTAACTTGCTCAGAGGATCCGGGGATGTCTGTTCCGCTTAAAAATTCTGATATGTTCATGTTTCTCTACGTCACACGGTTGGCTCTTCGGTACCAAGTGAAAAAGGTCAGTTAAGCGATGCAACAGATTGCAGTGGTTTAGGACGAAACTGTCTGTTGAAGTCTATGTTGGACCTGGTATACAACGAGTACGATGGCCTGATAGTACAGGTTGACTGGCGTAAAAGAAAGCAATGACTGGCTGAAGTGATAACTTGAATTGCACAACTAGCTGGCGGATTCAATCCCCAGTATTCAGCTCACTCACACATGCATAGCAATGTTTGATAGCCTATGTGCATTTTGTGTAATGGCGTAAGTAACTCACATAAGGAATATGAAGAAGAATAAGAGTTTAGGGAGGAAGAATCAGGAAACGCATGAGTGGCCAAAGAGACAAATAACAAACGAGATTCGCCTTACTTGCACTGGTTTCAGAATGCGCGAATGAAAAGGAGTCGTGGCTTTCTGGGATTATGGGCTGCTTGAGAGTAGAGGCCGACTGGCCCTCTGGTTCTCCACGTTCACTTGTAACATGGGCACGCAGCTTCTGGATCACAGCCTAGAAGAATGAAGTACGCAAAAACGAGTTAACGTAAACAAGCAGATGATATGCCATTCCATACACACAAAGCATGGTAGTCCTAAGCGTCTTCTTATCCCCTTGTTCAATGAAACGGAAAGCGCGACCAAAAATACGTCACAGACGGGAAATTCATTGCTGAAAGACACTTTGAGGGAACATTTTGAAGTCTGTCCTTGAGGGTGGTTTATCCAAAAGATCCTTTTTTAGAGGAGATTGACTGTGGGTTGAAATAATTGCACAAATTGTTACGCTGCAAGTAAAAAATTGAGGTAATTTTCCTGGAGGACAGGTCAACATGTCCCATTCTCCAAAATATTATATGGTTTGCTAAACTTCCGAGAATTCTTTCCAACTTTAGGTTATGGTATCCACACCTAACCATGCTTTGAGGAGATTCAAGGAAGTCAAAAGGTGAGAAGGTATATGTGCTTATGAATGATGGTTTAGAACACCGTCCTCTTTAGAAGACTACATCAAGGAAGCAACTAAATAACTTCTAAAAGTTTATTAGTGAGGTTTATTGCACGGGCCAAACAGACAGAATCACAGCCTAGTAGTTACCCCCGTGTGTTATGCTGGGCAATTATATAAAGGCAAACGTAATCGCGAAGGTTCACAAGGTATTCAGGCGTGCGCGTTTAAGTGATTGGCTAGAAAGGATGGTGCGTTCGAGATGACTCACTCAGGCGCACTAGATGGCTTAGTAATTGAGGCGCGACCTTACTGACCGGAAGGTCCAATGTTCGAAACCAAAATCAGCATCTCGACTGGTCCTGTCTAGGCTTGGGCAACTTGGCAGTACCTCAGCTCTAGTGGGTCCATGGTGTGGCATGGCAGCTAGGCACAAAAAGGTTGTTACAGCTGAGCGATTATTACATTACTATCAGCTGATGCAAAGCAAGTGATGTCGCACAGACGAATTGATCAGTTATTTATTAGGAAATGCGATAGCATGGTAAAAAAAAAACGCCATTCTTACAACAGATGGCATGTCGAACTTTCCGTTTTTTTGTTTGTTTTTTATCGGGGCCGATGGCGTCACATCTTTCACTGATTCAGTAGACGAACTGTCGTTCCAAGGTCTTTGTTTTAGACTAGGCGTGTTCCTCCATAAAGAAAAAGTTATCCTTCCGTTGATGATGCAATCCCTCACTTTTTCTATGACTTGACCGTCAAAAACTAATGCGAAAGTCGAGTCATATGGATGTAAGAGTCGGTTTGATAAACATGACATGTGAGGTGAGTGACAGTCCAGACAGAAAAGATATAGCTGACCGTGTTCTCACCCATGATATCGATTCCTCCTTGTTACGTCTTCCGCACTGTGGAGACATCAAAACGAACTCATCAAAGCCTATGCGTAGTACATCATTTAAAAATTCACAACAATGTAGTTCGTCAGTAGTCTTCCATGATCCGACATCTAGTTAACAGAGTAGTTGACGCCGAATGACCCCCTGCTCTGCTGCTCGTCGTTCAATTTAACCTTATACCTCTGTTCGGGCTAAGATGTACAGTGACTCATCATCATCTCAAACAGTATAGCTCACCAGGGCCGTGCCCTCTTCTTTTTTATTCAGCTTCGCCAACGGCATCATTAAAAAAACAATGAAGTCACACCCAGGGAGAAGTTGTCGGACTTGGATAATTCAAATGGGGATCAAGATGCCTAAGAAAAACTACGATAGGCCAGTAGTTTGGGCTCAACCTTGACTTTTGGGCTGCCCCTCTGTGGGTTTGGGCAGCTCGTGCCTTGAGTCGCACGGCAGTCATGCACCGAAAGGGTGACATATTTGAAAGATTAATTTTTGTTACTCATTATATTGATATGCGGACGGCATTGTTCCGATATTTGACTATTATGCGTCAGTACGAGCTACTCTAAATAGAGCACTGGATGTCACCCCTTGTGTTGGTATGTAGCTTGTACTTTCAAAGTGCAAAGCCATACCTCAAACATTCGATCACCTGTCTTCGTAGCATCGCACGCTGGACTGGTTAAAAGATATCCGTAGTGAGATGGTCCGTAGACGAGTACTAGGTAATGAGTAAGATTCGCTACAGATGAAGATAAGACTTGTCGGGTCAAGGTAGTTTGGGACATGTACAAGTATGTCCGGTACTAGTTCCAAAAAAGCCATGTTTTCCACTCCGAAATACTTCTGCGGAAAAGCTGACGGGAGAGGGCCATAAAGTGACGATGTGAAATGAAGGCGCCTACTGCCACCTAGATATTGAAATTCATCTTTCTGAGTGGTGGTCATGTGATTCCCTTTGTCGCTGTTAGAAACACTACAGAGTATGATCGACAGCAGCATGCGTGATGCCGGCCCAATAGGGGTTACAATGATTAAATCTTCACACTGCTTCAGGTTCTAGAACGCCATGCGGCCCACATTTCTGGTATTCATGAATTTCCAGGGCGCATTCGACTCAGTTGGCCAGTATCCTCTACTCGATACGATTCCGTGGCACCAGCAATGAATACCCCGGAAGTTAATCAACACAGTTCTCTGTATTCTCAGACTTCCGGGTAGGTTATGGTATACGCAGCTTTCCAAAAGTGAGCTCGAGATAGCTCAGTGGTTAAGGCGCGAGCTTATTAACCGCAAGACCTGCCGCTCGAAACCAGGATCAGCATCTCGACTAGTTCTGTTTAGGCTTAGGCAAATTGGAGAATCTCAGCACTCGTGCTTCGTTGACGTGGTATGGCAGTCATCCTACTGGACATGCAGTCACTGAACACGCCACTTACAATCTCGTTGGAGACACTTGAAGCTGTGAAGCGTTTCACATATCTTGGATATTGTATTACTTCCGACATTAGTGATAAATGAGGTCAATGCATGATTCTCCAAGCCTCGGGTTACGTTTGCTAATTGGAGACACGTATGGCATAAAAACGACATATTCCTTAGCCCCAAAGGACATTTGTGTACGGCTATCGTACGGGCTTTTTTGTTTTATGGTTGAGATGTGGCCTGTTCGAGCAGCGGAACTGAAACATTTTCAGGTCTTCGACAACTGTTGTCTCAGGAGCATGTCCCATGTCGTCTGGTGTCATTAAATCCGTAACAAGAAAGCTAGAAAGCGAGTGTTCGGTTGTACAACGGGGACTTCTGTCGAAGAATATGTCCGGCACCCGAAGCTGTGGCAGTTTGGTCATGTATTGCGTATATCGAACCATCGTATGCCGAAAAGTTGTTTCCCGTGCCCAAGTCAGAGTGGCGGAAGCAGAGAGATAGCAAACCCTTGATCCGGCATAGGGATATGAAAGAGATTACGAAACGTTTGGATTCTATCCGTGCTAATGGCCTTTCAGGATGGGGAATGCGTGATCCCCATCGCGCCTGGTCGGAGACGCTGCAAAATATGGCTACAAACCGATGTCAGTGGCGTTTTTGTTTTTTTATCCAGATTGTCTGCATGAGTGCTTGGAGGTGTATGCACCTCAGAATGATTATGGTGGGCCAGCAATAAATCCTTCCTCCATCCAGTTTTACCCTTTTCTTGAAAGAAAACACGGTTGTAAGGCAGCGAAGCATCGGCGTTGAACACTGATGCTATGCTGTCGGTGATGGTTTCAGTTTCGTTGGATTTTTCCAGGGATTGTGTTGGAGGACAGTTGGGATATCCTGTAAAGTGCTCGACACATAGATAAAGACAACGATTTTGCGGACGGACTGCTATTACTTATTCTGGCAAGTAGTTTCACTGGTACCAGTCTTCTTTTTTGTTGAAGTAGGGAGAAACCATTTACTGCAGAAAAAACCCTATCCATTTCTTGGGCGTTGGTAGTCTACCAGCACTGTTATTCTCCAGGTGCTTGATAGTCCCGCGTTTGAATGGCATGTGTACGCCATCGTGTTTGCCCGCACGGCTTTCCTAGCATCAGCAAGATCCGCCGACCTTGAAGTAATCACGTTCATTTGCTCAATCTGAATACCTTAGGCAGAAATTTCTGAAGGCTGAGAACATTTCTTTTTCTACCCTCTTTCATTTATCGTGCAGACAATCTTCGTCATCAGCGTGGCTGCGCTTGTTCACTAGCTTTCAAGCCAGATCAGCTCGACACTGTTGAGTTATTTAAACCCATTAAAAGGGAAATCTGTGTACAAGCATACGCAGTCAAAACAAAAGCTGAACTGACAACCGAACGCGCATAACGAGTGATTTGGCGTGCCCTTTAATGATGGGCAATCTAATGGTAGATTTCCATCGCTAACTGGCGGCCGTGAAATCAAACTGGCTTCATGAATTGCTTGCCACTGGTGGCCAGACATCATAATTTCTGACGATGAATGCAGCTGAAACCAGCCTTCAAATCATGGAGAGAAATCATAGTGGGTGATTAGGAAGAGCAGTATTCATCATCATCGACAGCATGACATCAGTGTTCAACACCGATGCTTCACTGCCGTACAACCATGACTTATTTGAAAGCCTTATTGTGAAGAAAAGAATAAAGGTGGATGGGGGAGGGACTTAGTGCTAGCTTAACACAATCATTCCGAGGTGCCTACACCTCCAGACATTCACTCAGACAGTCTGGATAGAAACTGACAACAAGAACGCCACTGACATCGGTTGGCAGCCATATCTTGTAGTGTCTCCAACCAGGCACAGTGAGGATCACGCGGTCCCCACCCTGGAAGGCGAGTAGCACCGACAGCACCCAAGCGTTTCGTGACCTCCTTCATACTCCTCTGCCAACTCAAGGGTTGGCCACCTCTCTGTTTACGCCACTCCGAATTGGGCATGGAAAACAGTACTCTCTTCGGCAAACGATGGTTCGGCATACGTAACACATGTCCCAACCAACGCAGCTTCTGGTCCCGGACACATTCTTCAATGGAAGTACCCGTTACACAACCGAAAACACGCTTTCTAACTGCCTCGTTATGGATTCGCCGACACCAACCCACGCGAGCTATGGTTCTGAGACAACGATTGTCGAACACCTGAAGACGTCTCAGGTCCGCCGATCGAATAGGCCAAGTCTCGCAGCCATACAACAAAACAGCCTGTACTGTAGCCTGATACACATGTCCCTTGCGATTCAGGGATGAACCATTCTGGTGCCATAGGTGCCTCAAGTTAGCAAACGCGGCCCGAGCCTTGCAGATTCGTGCATTCACCTCATCTGTCACACTACAGTCAGAACTAATACAACTTCCAAGA